GCTATTATACGTCGTTTAGCGTGTGGTTGATAGCATGAACAACGGCCATGTGGGAAATACGGATAAAGTGAGGTGTAAATAAGTGACAGTTGAGTATGTACTTATAATGTAATTGTTGTTGAATGGATGAAGAAGACTTGCTTCAAATCCTTCAAATCCCAGTTCGACACTGTAATGAGTTTGACCACCCTTACCGACCGTCTCCGCCTTCTGCTGTCCCGAGAACAACAAAAGACTAGTGTTTCCATCCCCATGATACTTTAAAATATGGTATTTGTTGTTCTCCTGCCTGGCGATCGGCTTTTAGGGCAAGAAATAGCAAGAAATAGTCGGCTATACGATCGGGTATTAGTATACAGTTCCGAAATATAGCTGGAATATTGCTGAGTGCGGCGTAAAACTACACTCACTAAATTCAGTATGCACTTAAGTCATACATATAAGTAAACATGCTTGCAATAGCTGTAGGTCAGATCAATAATGTTTGTCAGCATGTGCTGCAGCAGAAAACAAGCAGTATATGGGTTGTATGTTGTATGTCAGGATATGTTACATGTGCAATACTAGACCCTTATATATACATACCAGCTGAACACGGTGTATCCAAACCATGCCCAACGTCAATGCTTACATCACAATACAGCTTTAGTACATTGTTTTCTGTGTAGTAAATGGCAGCTATACAGAATGCAGCCTCTGTGTCACGGCGCATGTGACAGATACTTGGGGAGTATTAATAGAACATGTCTTACATGAACTGCTACTGTGTATCAAATGAAACAATTAACCTACGGTAGTGGCACGGTGAGTGCTACTTTAATTCTCCCGTGGTTATGGAGAGAGAGTGATTTGGTATAAACACATTAGATGTCAATATGAGACATGAAGTATTTTTTGGATTGAGATAACGTGACCTTTTTGTGAAATTTGCGGTAAGGTCCTTCTCCCTTGTGTCATCTAAGAATGTCAGAAGTGGAAACCTGTGAAAGATGACTCACGACTTGCCTCAATCTATTATTGCCAAACACATGTTCCTTTACTGATTCTCGTGTCAAACACAAACTTCAAGTGTGGTTGCAAAACAACACGGACGTATTCTCATTATTTACGGCAGAAACAATATATCTGTAATTTTGTACCCCATGGAAAAAAACATACACTTCCCATTTGGATAGAAAAGAGTTTTTGACGTCGGTTGATCATGCGACCCTCTTGTATCGATTGAAACGACAAGGCGGAAGAAGCGCCTCACAAATATCACCAACCGCAGATACAAGTTTTTTCTTTACCATCAGTAATTACGTACATGTACCCTTCACTTGATCAGTTGATGTTTCACGTCAGACTAGAGAGTTATGTGGGATGAGGTTATTAATGGGATGTCTAGGAACGCCTGATGGAAATCACGGGTTGATGAAGATGGTCGTGTTTACATAAAAAAGTCTGAATCCTCTCCAGTTGTGTATAGATATCATATTAAAGGCACCAACAGAATAAGCAATGTTGGTCGGTAGGTAAGCATACCATAGTCTCACACAGAATCACAAGCAGTTCTGTATAATAACAGTCCACACTAACGGAAATGTTGCCTCTGCGCAGAATCTAACATATTCCACAATAGTATTTGATTTATAACTCTTAAAAATGAAAAACATTAGTTCGCATCATGCTAAGCGTATGTGTAATACTATCTCAAACGTATTATCTTTTAAAATCAATATATTTGCATGTTTCGACACATATTTACGGCATTTCAAACATGTGGTTGCAAATTCAGTTCTTACCCCAGCTGTATCCTTGAAGCAATTTATTTACACAAAATTACCCATCAACAGATAACTGTATACAAATTGACAACAGCTCTTTTCAATTACATAAACAATAAATTGATTGGACTATACTTCTCCTCTCTGTGTGTGATCAAATCAGTGTCAGATCCCACTTCAGATATATATTATTTCCTCTGATTTCGCGAAGAGAAATTCTTGTTTTTGGCGGGGTGGAAGATGCAGCACCGTCTTTCACTTGTGTCACGGAATGTGTCTAATGCGTGGAGGCGACTTCTGATACTGTTGCGATAGAACTGTTGCGATGCTACTGAAAGCCACGCCAACCTATACAAAATCAGACTAGTTTAATCAATGCTTTTAACAATGCCATATGGATGTTAGTCGTGTCCGTGGTGGACATTTCTAGATCACAGGATATGGTGGCCTCATCGTCAGATTGTTGGCTAACAGCTGTATTTATGCGGTATTCATTGTGTGAATATTTATACTACCGGAATTTACACAACAAAGTGAAAGTCAATTCTAAAATGATTTATTTCAGGTCTAGTTATCCATTCATGTATTGTGATTAAATAAAATCAGTAAATATGCACATTATTACCCATTTGTTTTTTAAACGTCGGCTTTTTCTGAATTCTCTTTAAATGACATTTCCATGGCCAGGGAAGGACTAGCGTCTTGGTTGCCTTGTTTCCTTAGGTCACACTTGGTGTCTTTAAGTTATAGTTGTACGATACAATTGTACCGAGACTTACCTGGACAGTGTCATGTTTTGATCATTGTATCAAATATATACTGAGCTGATGCTGACTGAGTAACGTACGGGTTTTAAAACATCAGCTATTACGTAGAACCAATTAATTCCCAAGCAATTGCTGAATACTTGACGACGCTTCAGTTAAGGTAATGACTAGCGTGTTGGTTAATGTCAAAATGTATCCCCTGAGCGACTGTTCATTCAAGCCAAGATATTTTGCGCTCTTTCTTTGTTTCTGTTCCCTAGTACACGAATCAGTATTTTGGATGTTGTGATGCTCAACCATGATGGACGGTGCCCGTTCCCTAGTGTCCGAATCAGTATATTGGGTGTTGTGCAACTATCCACTGTGCCCGTTCCCTAGTGTGTGAATCAGTATATTGGGTGTTGTGCAACTCAACCACGGTGTGCGTTCCCTAGTGTATGAATCAGTATGTTGGGTGTTGTGCAACTCAACCACGATGTGCGTTCCCTAGTGTGTGAATCAGTATATTGGGTGTTGTGCAACTCAACCACTGTGTGCGTTCCCTAGTGTGTGAATAAGTATATTGGTGTTGTTGTGCAACTCAACCACGGTGTGCGTTCCCTAGTGTATGAATCAGTATGTTGGGTGTTGTGCAACTCAACCACGATGTGTGCGTTCCCTAGTGTGTGAATCAGTATATTGGGTGTTGTGCAACTCAACCACTGTGTGCGTTCCCTAGTGTGTGAATCAGTATATTGGGTGTTGTGCAACTCATCCACGGTGCCCGTTTCCTAGTGTGTGAATCAGTATATATTGGGTGTTGTGCAACTCAACCACGGTGTTGTGTTAAGCACTTTCCTAGTGTGTGAATCAGTATATTGGGTGTTGTGCAACTCAACCACTGTGTGCGTTCCCTAGTGTGTGAATCAGTATATTGGGTGTTGTGCAACTCAACCACTGTGTGCGTTCCCTACTGTGTGAATCAGTATATTGGGTGTTGTGCAACTCAACCACGGTGTGCGTTCCCTAGTGTGTGAATCAGTATATTGGGTGTTGTGCAACTCAACCACGGTGTGCGTTCCCTAGTGTGTGAATCAGCATATTGGGCGTTGTGCAACTTAACCACTGTGTACGTTCCCTACTGTGTGAATCAGCATATTGGGTGTTGTGCAACTCAACCACTGTGTGCGTTCCCTAGTGTGTGAATCAGTATATTGAGTGTTGTGCAACTTAACCACTGTGTACGTTCCCTAGTGTCCGATTCAGTAGATTGGGTGCTGTGCAACTCAACCGCTGTGTGCGTTCCCTAGAGTATAATGACTATCTTAAAGGTCTGTGTTCCTCAGACATGCCACCCACCATCAAGTAATAAGTGACTTCCGTCTGGCCTATATACTCTTCGTCATGACGCCAGGACCCTTTGAGCGCTGACACTGAACGATTAATCTGTCAGATTGGATTATCCGACAACAAACGTCTGGCCATTACCTCATTCAACCTGATATCAAACACGTCTGTCTTGCTGGCAGGACGTATACATCAAAGATCATATGAGAAGTTGTCATCAGTGTAACCCCTGCCGCCTCTCCCAGCACATGATGAATGGGTCGGGAGACGATCCATTATTTCAGCATTCCCACTACCCACCTTTTACCAAACAAATAACTACAGGAGAGAGTAATTAAGGAACCAATTTCACATTTATTCATACATAACGTAGATATCTACTACATTTTATGTCTGGGATTTACGTTTAACAAAGTGTAAACATGTACAAATAACAGTATTTTGCTACACAATATACAAGTATTATTATCCGAGAAATGTCTTTTAGTGTTCCAGAAGCTTACCTTTCATTATTTTTTAGTATGTCAGTATTCCTGCTTCTCGGCGCTTTTGAGACTTGAGCCAGGATTTGCTGAGTGTCCTGCACATTTGAGTTGCTTGTCCGTGCTCAGGTGGCCTCCAGTTAACCGGGCTCGGGCCTCTATAGGGTCATAATGTATGGCGTCATACGTCAGCAACTTTGTGTTTCATCAAGGTAGACAACCGTTTACGAAGTGTGCCGCTCATTCCAACGTTCCCCATAAACTGCTGAGTGAATGAGGGTGGTTGAATGCCGCTGTGAAAATTGGTTTTCCAGCTATATACCACCGCGTTTCACCTTAATGTTGGAGGGAACCCAGTCCCAAAAGTCAACCACTTTGTTGAATCCTGTAAACATTAGTGTGTGGCCAGAAAGCTTAGGTGCTTAATCAAAGCAAATCTTGGATTCGTACTCCCGATCAAAGATCTCAGCCAACTGGCAGGCCTGTCGGTGATGCTAAATGTTACAATGTACAGTGGAAATCAACTTGACATAGCGACATCTTACCTTCATATGTATATATGTATTATTACCACGTGTGAATATTTGGAAACAGTTTGAGAATAAGAATTCACAGTCGCAGGCGAACTTTACTAATTGATAGCCTTTGTTGTCCTACAGGTCGAGCTGACCTATCAGACGAGAAACTGTTGATACGGACGTTGCTGGAGGACTATGCAAAGCTCGGTAAGATGGGGCGACCGGTGAAGCAGCAGAACGACACTTTGCCCATCTACTATGGGCTTAGCCTCATACAGATCCTCGACCTGGATGAACGCAACCAGATCCTCAGTACCAACGTTTGGGCGTCCTATGTGAGTCCCATCACGTCACATGTGGTGTCAGCAGTTAAAATGGCCCTTCGTTCGTTTCTCAGTTCGTTTCTTCGTTTGTCCATTTATTTATTCATTTCAAATAGCATATTGTGTTTGCCACAATGATTACACGTTCAGACTGCAACAGAGATGAGAAGTGTATGTAGAGGTACATGCATGGATACTGCACATATAGTGACATACATGGAACGATATAACAAGACATATGGGCCTGTCAAGGTTGATATTTCATGAAAGTGGGAGCGTTGTCATGCCACAAGATACGATGATGTATACTTGTTTGCTGTTCTTTGCGATCTTACTTGGAAACTAACGCTGTGATTTTGGGCAACATGAAAGTGATTTCTTCGTAATGTGATATTCACTCAAGAGAGATGTACTTTTCGTTAACATAGCATCTTATCACTAACATATACTATGATATATTACTCATTGATTTCTTCAGCAATGGACGGACATGTACCTGAAATGGAACGTCAGCGACTACAACATTACAACTGTACGGGTGCCCACCGATTCCATTTGGATGCCTGACATCAAACTGTATAACTAGTAAGTTGTATAGATGACTTGCACTCAACCATTAGAATGGTAACGTATTAGTTTTGACGATTTCCCTTGGAAATATATATGTTATGACATATTGATAAGCAGTTTTATTTAACATCGAGTACCAAGCCCGATATTGAGCAACCTGTCTTATCATGAATCGAGGATAAAAGCCCAGCTGGAGCATTATGGCTTATTGTGCATAAAGATTCAAGGCCTACATGGAGCATAATGTGGCTTATCATGCATAGGGGCGGTGGGGGTAGACCCGGGTTTTATTCCCCACATGGATACAATGCTTGATGCCCATTTCTGATGTCCCACGCTGCAACATTGCTGGAATATTGCTAAAAGCGGCTTAAATACACCTCACTCACTATCATGCATAAAGGCCCAAGGTCCACACAGAACATTATGTGGCTTATGCATAAAGGACCGAGTCTCATATTAAGCTTTATGTGTTGTCATGAATAATGCATCAAGGCCAAGTTTGAGCACTATGGATTTTCATGCCAAAAGGACCAAGGCCCACGTAGAGCACTTTGTGTTATCATGAATCGAGGACCATGGTCCACTTTGAAAATATTTGCTGAATACCATTGATAAAACCTTCACATATGAAATTCTGTCCACGCATTAAAACAGAATTACCATTTGGCCTTGTTCTAAACGAATACTGATCTTTCTGTATTCTCCAGAGACACCCCAGCACTTCTCCTTATATATCACCCTCCCCTCGCCATTTTGATGCCCTTTATACCGAGCATTATGTCAGTGACATGCATGCACATGAGATGCACAATAAATTGTCAAAAATGTGTTTGATAATCTTTTAAACGCTACAGCAAAGTAATATTAACTAGTCAATGAAATTTCATCATCTTTGTGATCTGGTAATATATGCTATCTCAATCTTCATATTCAGGGTTGTATGAGATCCAAACAAACACTCTGCTGAGACAAATTACTCTAAAATCAATAGTAACTAATCACTGCGCTTTCATCTAGCAGTGAGATATTAATACCTGCTGATGGAAAGTACCATAGTTACAAAACACTCTTTCAGTCAATCATCTTTCCAAAAATTCCGAAGATCAAATGAGGCATGTGTTGGTGGCTAATAACCAAATAATAATGTCATACGTTCTTTCATTACAGATGTTCATTTGAATATCTCAAACCGGTTCATCTATTTGCCACCTATAAGGATATTCTATTTAACATATATACAACAATTAGTATATCCTATTTACAATCGGTGTATTCTGTTTCCATACAGCCAATCAGTTTATCCTAATATGTACTTATAACCAGTCAGGGTATCCCGTTTACTTACATACAGCTACTGAGCACATACTCTTTACTTTCACCACATGGGTACAATGTATATGCTAAAAGCGGCGTAAAACCCCTCAGCCAGTGATGTTGCTGGAATATTGGTAAAAAAGCGGCGTAAAACCAAACTCAGTCAGTCAGTCAGACTGAGTTTACTTTCAACCAATCAGCGTACCCACGTTTACTTACATACAACTCTATTTACATTCATACAACCAATCAATTTATCCGGTTCGTGTTCCTTTGTACTCCACCAATCAATATTTACTTTCATCCAACCACTCTGGGTACCATATGCCTGTCCCTCATGACGCTATGTAGTGTACTGATACCACAGTAACATATACTCCACCAATCAATGTTTGCTTTCATCCAACCACTCTGGGTACCATATGCCTGTCCCTCATGACGCTATGTAGTGTACTGATACCACAGTAACATATACTCCACCAATCAATGTTTACTTTCATCCAACCACTCTGGGTACCATATGCCTGTCCCTCATGACGCTATGTAGTGTACTGATACCACAGTAACATATACTCCACCAATCAATGTTTACTTTCTGGGTCCAACCACTCTGGGTACCATATGCCTGTCCCTCATGACGCTATGTAGTGTACTGATACCACAGTAAACATATCCTCCACCAATCAATGTTTACTTTCATCCAACCACTCTGGGTACCATATGCCTGTCCCTCATGACGCTATGTAGTGTACTGATACCACAGTAACATATACTCCACCAATCAATGTTTACTTTCATCCAACCACTCTGGGTACCATATGCCTGTCCCTCATGACGCTATGTAGTGTACTGATACCACAGTAACATATACTCCACCAATCAAATTTTACTTTCATCCAACCACTCTGGGTACCATATACCTGTCCCTCATGACGCTATGTAGTGTACTGATACTACAGTAACATATACTCGAATGTATTTTGTATGTTGCTAAAACAGTCCAACAACAGGTGAAACTGGTTTCATATGTTACAGCGCCGATACTCGACTGGAAGAAAAGAGGGACGCTTTGGCCGTCATCTCCCATGATGGAGGAGTCGTGTGGATACCACAAGCCGTCTTCAAGAGTTCCTGCTCTATTGACATTCGACACTTCCCCTTCGACGTTCAGACATGCGTATTGAAGTTTGGTTCTTGGACATATGATGGATCTAAGTTGGACCTGGAATTCTTATATGATGTGATAGGTTTTGAAATGACAGATTATATTCCTAGCAACGAATGGGATATTCTAGATTCTTCAGCCAAGAAGAATGTGAAGTATTACCCGTGTTGTCCAGAGCCGTATGTTGACCTGACGTTCACACTGAAGATCAGCAGGAAGGTGGCGTTCTACAACTACATCCTCATCCTGCCCTGCGTCCTCCTCTCTTCACTCACCCTCGTTCTCTTCTGGCTTCCCCCCAGAGTCCCCGGCTAAAATGCAGCTAGGTTAGTAGTGGTTCTGGACTAACGGTACATACAGACCGTGTATTGTGAACCTATGTCATACATGTGCCGTGCATTGTGTACTAACGAAACAGCTAGCCCGGTATTTTGTATCAACGGCTCAAATAGCCATGATATATGACCATATAGAATCATATAAGCAGTTTGTTGTGTATATATAGAAAAATACATATTACGATTATTTTGTACAAAGGATCACATATGGCTTTGTTGTGTGTTCGCTGTGTTGCACTTCCGGGTTATAGAACAGCTGCAGAATTGTACTGGACTATGTGGAACATTTAGTGCGTTCTCATGGAACCAGTTTAAACGTGTTTTGTACTTACATGTCATCTAGGACATGAAAGTACTATGAAACTAAAGACCATATAGGCTATTTGGAGTCCATCTAACCCATATATTGTATTGATACTGATGTGTCAAATAGAATATGGTGTATAATGAAAATGGGGATAATAAAGACCGTTTATTGTGTAATAATAGAACACCATTATCATTATTTCGTTCTAATGGCAAATACAGGACGTGACTGGTAATTGTATATGCTTCCTATTTATTATCTTCTGAGGACAAACGGTCGCTTTATGCGAGTTATTGCGGACGTGTGTGCATGGATAATGCGCCATTCCACTCTTATGAATGTGCATGACGTTACATTATCACTGCCCAGGTCAATGGCTCAATGTTCATTCTCAGCTCCCTAAGGATCATGTAACTACATTCTTCGCTGGTCGTCTATTGCCGTAGCAGTTAGATTGGGGTCCGCATAATAATGCGAGCCAGGGAGTCACTAGCCTTTTTGTGCATTAATTTCATGATGCATGTGTTATCCATGTTTTTCTCATCTATCAGGAAATGACTACACATGTATCTGTTTTTCCCTTTTCAGGAATGAATATATTCGTGGCTTTCTTTGTGTTGTTGCTGCTGCTGGCTGAATCAACACCCCCAGCAGCATCCTCGATTCCCCTGATCGGTACGTACAATCACTTGTCCATGTTCATATACAGGAACAGCGAGCACCTCCAAAGAAAACTGTTTCCTGCCCTTGTGTATAGCACAAGTGTAGGTGACTTTGATTCCATGCCTTTGATTGATGAGCGAACATATACGTAACTCACAGGCTGGGAAAGAAAGGGAAATTCTATGTTCTTCATCTAACTGAGAAAGCCTGTTAATGAGGTAACTCCAGAACTGCACAGGAGAGCTCGCCGACTGATCAGTGAAAGCCTTGCACCTTTAGGCTTACAGGGCAAGAGTTGGTTTTCTATCGGTGAATGATAAGTGAAACTTTGGTTAACCTTAGGGTTACGATAGGAATCTATTTTCCTTGTCAGTGATCGATGTGTTTAGGATCTAACTGTATGATGAGTTCAGGGGATGTCACTGTATCACCTAACAGGGCATGTGTTGCAGTAATAATATAGTCAGCTACTGGTTCATTTAAATACTCTCAATGGCGGGATGATATGTATACCGGGTGGTGCCATGTCAAGGGTTAGCATCCCATTTACTGTGACAAATAAGGTTAAGTGTCTTGGGCAATAGCGCATCAATTCAAAACGGGGCATCGAATGGAAAAGGTATTCATTTTCAACAGCATTTCTTCAGTATTTCTGTCAGCTCTAAAAAAACTGTATGTTGATGATATGCCACATATAATTGGCATTTCAGAACCTATAAAAATTGAAACTCAAATAATTGTTTTTCGGAAAGTATGATTTCTTTTGACCCCTTGATATTTTTGTTGCCAATCGAAACACGAACAGTTCCTCCCGCTCTCATCAATAATAATAAATAAACAGGAATAATTAATTATGTTTGGATAGAATAATATTACCACATCCCAGTAAAATGAAAAACCAACATTGCCTCCTCTAGAAAGATGTCAAGATGTAATATTTTTAGATGTTCATGCGTCAGTACCTCAACGAAAGAATTCCATTTATTCAGCATGACCTCATAATGGGTTCCGACTCAAACGGTCACATGTAGTTCCTCCGACTGTTCAGTCGGCAACGTTATCATATATGTAAAGAACTTCCACGACTGACACTATCTAGCCTGCATTAGCAGATTCTTTGATCGTGTGTCCCACCCATTACAGAGCGGTCCAAACATTCAGATGAAAGAAAAGGCCCCCGAGCATAAACCCTGAGCCATACTAATAGGCGAGGCCTAAATTTAAATGTTATATGATGCTCTGAGTTTTAAATGCCTAGTTGTTATCGTAAGTAAATTAGTCTATTTACTAAAAATAAAAGTTGAATCAAAGAGTTTGATTTTATGAACTGTTTCAAATTTCGAAGAACATATCAGCACTCCATCTTTTTCTTTGAAGATGAAAGTGCTCTGGTGTTTAATTAATGGATCCAATATGCTTTCTGAAGATGCTTTCGAAAACAAACTGGAACCAAATTCATGGATTTGGAATTTAAATTGTGCTTAACATTTCATGTTGTCTTTACCAGAGTTATGATGCAGTGTCTGGTTATTTCATTCCTCGTTAGCCTGTTCAGATGTAACTTTCTTTTGAAACCAGTAAATACATATTGAAATATAAAAAGGCCCCCTAGAAGATCCGCGTTAGAATTTGTCTTCAGCATTTCCACTTTTTTTGCCGTAAGAGGCGACAGGATCGGCGATCAGATACGCTGGTTGTTGAAATGCCATCGTTTGGTCATTGCGTAGATCAGTGTTCACTATCTCCATCCCTGGTTGGGTTGCTCGAGTCTCGATTGGTCACAGGTCACAGCCGCGCTACTGTTGAATACTGCATTGAATAACGAAGCTAAAACGTAAAGCGACCCTGCTCCTTTTTGACAAATGTTTTTGCACATAGACCAAAAACTGACTAATATGACATGCTATATTGCCCATAGGTATAACACAATTTCAATTTTCATAGACATAACTGTGACACACGCACGCACATATGATGTATGTAATGACTTTTGTTACAGGCGCATACTACTGTCTCAATATGATATTGATCACGCTGTCAACACTACTGTCTGTCATTGTGGTGAACCTGTATTTCCGGGGATCAAGGACAACTGTTCCACGTCTTTTGAAGAAGGTCAGTTGGTGCTGTCTGTAGTCTCTGTACACCTTATTGTACTATTTCATCAAAGTCCACATGGGCCTTAATGAATTACAAAACTTCGTTAACTCGAATTTTGTAATGTAACAGTCGGAGAACTCGGAACGTTAGTTTCAGATATTTGCACTTGTACATTCCACTCATCATCAATGCTGATTGGTCCCTTGCAGCCATTTAACGTCACGGTACTGTTTTGTTCAGGGTAATAGCCTATGAAGCTATCCTACAAGACAAACTTAAGGAACAACTTTATTCCATGACGCATTGGGCATTTGTTACTACATTAGTTAGAAAAGATGGAATTGGAGCTATTCTCAGAGGTTCAGGAAAATGTGTGAAAAATGAAATCAAATGTCATCTGAAGTTTACTGAGGAAACGATTTGTGAAATGATGGAATGCCCCACTGATAACATCAGCATGAATTTGGGGTGCAAAACATTCCGACAAGAAGTAAGCTTCCCCTCGGGCACCGGCTGTGCTCCCCTTGCGGACCTGTTTCTTTAAATATATAAATCAGAATTTCATGTGTTTCACATTTACATCCATGCATAAAGATTGCCAAAAAAACCCAACTCTCCACAAGCATGTATAACAAGAGGAATGGCTTCAATTTTCAAATACTCAACTTTCCCTGTAAGATTTTCTGTTCTTTGGGGGTATATAATCAGTCGTTTATCTGTTATTATTGGTGAAATTATTTGAAATACGCCATTATACGAGGGTGCCATGCTTAAATATGAACATCCAACTTCATATGTATCCTAAACATGAAAAATAAATTGTTCAGTGTTCATTTATTTAGGTGCCTATCTTGATATTGAAAATGTATGTCAGATTATCTATGTTGATAGTCCGAATATATAATGCATCTTTCTAACATAATCAAACTTAACACATAGTCCGGAAGCCTAGTGGTTAAAGCGTTCGTTCGCTTGTAACGCAGTTCATGGTGTTCCCCGCCGTGATATTGCTGGAATATTGCTAAGAACGGCGTAAAACCGTAATCACTCACTCACTCCAATATCTTTGCTGCAGATTATGCTGGACGGGTTTGCGCGTATCTTCTGTATGCGGAACCAGCTGGTAGACAAAGGGGAAGAGGACCATAACGCGGCCACCGCTGCCCTACACGTGAAGATCAACCGAGAGAAGAAACACAGTGACTTCAAGTATGACCGAGTGGGTTGTTACGAGCTCCAGACAGAAGAGAGCTGGCGTGGTATTTCTAACGGCAACAGCGTGCATCCTTCATCAGGAGAGGCTGATGCATCTTTCGGACACCAGTTTTCTGCTCTTGAGGCGGAGGTAAAAGACATAAGGCGACTTATGAAACTGATGTGGGATAAATCCTCGCACAGAGAAGAAAAGGAGAGACTTGCTCGGGAGTGGAAAGTCATGGCGCTCGTGCTCGATCGTCTGTTTTTCTTTCTGTATCTGATAGCCATATTTGCTTCAGCGTTCACAATATTTGAAACGACGATGGACAAGACAGCAGAATAAATGATTTAAATACATCAATTATCAGCTGTTGGAACGACGACACAAACATTGAGTTGTAGGAATGATACACACATTGCTGTGTGATGTTCGCCTTCGAACCGGCACAGGAACGTGCCTGTAATTTGGAACAGTTACCTGTACAGTAAGGATAACCAGCTGTTTGTATATGTGGTCTTTCGCTGCAAAGATGAAGACCATAACTACCACTGTGTCTCAGGCTCTTGCCTCATGTGAAATACATATACTATGTGTAAGTTGACTGCTAGGCGTTTTCTACCAATATAGTTAAGTCTTCCCAGCCGTCAGACTTACATGATCACCACGTTGCTGGGACCTTAAGCCTTCCTTTAAATACCAATGCAACGTCGATTCCTAAGGACATGCTGTTCTTTTGTATACATTTTTGTATACGTGGATATTCAAACGTGCAAATCAACATTTACAATAGCCAGTGACTAGATCTTAATGTTTAGCAAACATGCAATCACCCATAAATGTGTTTACATTATTTTTACACGTGTTTAACAGTACAGGGTACAGTCGTGATGTCCTTACAATAAGTTAAGTTCACATCCATCCAGGATCTGCATGAATCCAAGGTCCATCCCGAATAAATTATTTATCTGCCCTCATAAACATCAGTGCAAGCATCATTTCATACTGTACAGGTCTACACATCTGTGTCACGAATGTCTCCGTGGTTCATTATATCAGCACCTTACCCAATCATAATTAATGTTATCCGTTTGGGATGTATTATATGTAAAGTACATTGCAATCATACAATTTACATCAGTCCTAGGAATGGGATGCAGTACAAATACAAACGTGTGACATTTTTGATAGAAGTGGTTGGCACTAGACGTGAATTCATCACCTTTTTACAAACCGTTTACTGCGTGTGTCTACAGAACGAAGAACACGGAGTGTTAAATGCTTGTCAACTCAGCATCTTTTCTATATCAGCATTATCATTTGTGTGTTCTTACACCAACACTATAGGTACGTTCTCGGATCCAATACAAATATGTAATGATGCAAGTATTGTAATATGCGATCGTATGCGATCTCGGAACAGCTGTGTGGATTACATTCTATACGATTTCATAACACCTACATCTATTACCATCTATACGATCTCGAGATCGCTACACGAAGTAATAAAAGGAAAAGTAATTTGATTTACATGGAGAGTAGCTATGGATAGCGAGGTGTAAATTACGACCAAGCAGCTGTGTGTATTACAGGTACGGTGGTTAAGGAGAGGCGAGATGCATTGCAAAGTATATAGATCAAGAAACGAGGACAGCTGTTGAAGCAATTGTATTCATTAGGATGTGTGATTGCTTTCTGTTACTGTGTTCAACGCTAACAACGTCGTTCTTTGTGACATGTGAGCTGTGCTAGAATAATCATTTCAGGAAAGAAGAGAAGAAAATTCAAAACGTCAAGGATAAGAATAATTAGTGTTGACGGATTCCATAGGGCGTAAAAGTGATGGCAGTTATGACACCGGGTGTTTGCAAAAAGCGAGAGCAATGGCCTGCTCTACCGGTAGGAATAACAGATGCAGGAGCAGTGGAACAAGCATGGACAGACCGGGGAGATCCGTCTTGCCGCTGATACTGCTTCTGTTTATCAGTATCTGACGATGGGAGCAAGTACCTGTGGCATTTATTGGTGTGCAATATATTTCAGATCGGCATCAGGCTGGTGATATAGGATTTAGGTGTTACTGAAGCTGCTACTGAGTTGTGATTCCATTTCCAGATTCATCAACTCACTGAATCATCCAATCAGCCATCATCTCCATCATATGTCACGATCTTTTCACCTGCTGCAGAAACTTGATGAATGCCTTATCTTTTCACAACTAATTGATGCCATATACGTGCAATGACTCACTCTCATAATAATGGAACTCTGGTTGCACTTCATCCTGATGATTGTACATCTCATACCTAAAGGTGGTTGCACATCACCAAAGATGATTGCACCTCATCAAGAACAGTTTCACATCACCAAAGGAAGTTGCACATTACCAAAATGGTTGCTTATGACAAAAGATGGTTGCTTATGACAAACGATGGTTGCACATGACAAAAGATGGGTGAACTTGACAAAAGATGGCTCTACGCCATCCAAGTGGTCGCAGCCCATTACCAGATCCCACATGGATGCATATATATATATATATATATATATATATATATATATATATATATATATATAGACATTTGCAACCGGTCCATTTTGTGCATAAATGTTTTTATGTGTTTGTCTTAAAGATGTAGCTATTAGCAATTTAGCATATTACGTTTGATGGTAGCGATTTGAATTACGTCGTGTGTATGAGACAATTTCTTTTCAGATGAATAAACAATTGCCACTATGTTGACTGATTCCTCTGGTGAAGGTGTGTCCAAGTTCAGAAATATCCTGACATTCATGGTGATGATACTGGCACCATTTTCATAGAAGTGTTCGATAAAATTCCTTCGGGGTGACAATTTAGTGTGGCATAAAAAAGTTAATTTTGGGCATGTCATACATGTCTTGGTAGACAAAATATAGGTAATATTGAATGTCCCATGTGGGATTACTGAATTACTAGAAGTAAAACCGAAGAAATATGATACTTGATGACATTAAGGTTCATTAATAAACTCACTGAAAAAATACAATGTAGACGAGAACAGATTGCATGAACTTGTTAATGAATATTTTCTTATGTACATTATAAACATATTATGATTGCTAATGTGTATTAGTGATTTCATTTTGTGTATATAGAAATATCTTTCAATAAAAGTGTTCATCGATTTGCATCTTCAGTATGGGGCTAATAAAAGCAGTACACCTGCGTGGCCCAGTATTCGTATTGGCTGTATATATAATTCGCAAATTGTAGTGCAAATTGGAATTTCATGTCGTTCATGAAATGCACAAATTCATCTCTCCTCGCATGGTCCCCCCTCTCCATCTCACTCACTAAAAATAACACCCATCCATCCATCCTCTAACTCACTCACTTATATTTCCATTCACGTTTACCCTCCCTCTCTCACTCACTCACTCACTCATACCCACCCAGCCAAACTCACTCACTGTTCTTAAATTCAGCTGTCATAGATCTTTATTTGGAACATATCTTCATCCGATACAAATGTACCTGAATCACACAGATATCAGTTCATAAAAAAACTGAAGAATAAAAAAACAGCTGATAAGATTACACTCTTTTGCATGTCCTGTGAATGCGTCATTCTTCTTCCCCCTCGACTGGCTCGCCCCAAGGGAGTCTATAACTCTTAACTCTTCACAGTATGATTGCAATCTGAGACGTCAGCTCTGGTTTACTGGCGTCGAAGGCACGGGGTAATTTGTATAATTTTTCTCCCATTAGGAAAATACGGTTTAGGCAGGTAATCTAGATTGTGTCTGACTTACGCCCAACGTATCAGTGCACAGAAACCCGGTTATAGCTTCATGTTAGTTTGCCATACATTGGCACTTGCGGTGCCATGGTCTCTTTGACTTTCACCATGGCGATCACGCTGGGCCTTGTCGAGTCGGATTTGGCTTTAATTAGGAGACAAACATTACGTTTTTTGATTGGCAGGTGCTGCTGAGTATTCGTATGTAGCTGATGGTGTTGGCTGGGGGTTTCAAATGTTTTCATTTCAGGTCGTACTGGATAACGTTCGTAAGTCTGATAACAGGCAATGCCTCGACATAGTTAAAAATATAAAAACAAAAAAGAAACATTAAATTTTCTAAGCACACGCCGTCTCTCCGTGAGCCCTCACAGCTCTGAGGCTTTCATAGACTGAGTAAATAAGAAGGTGGAATGTCCTGACGTCATGATGTCATATACTGCTATGATACCTTGAGCTACAAACTCATTGTTAAAAATATACAGTTAGTACTTTATTCGTCATGGATTCATTTCGGCAATCTTAATTGCTCGTTTTTTTCAAGATGTTTCTCAAGACAATTGTTCCTGCTCAACATTTTGATGCATTTCCTTCCTGGATCTGGGTGCGAGTATCAACCAGACTTCAGAACTTACTTATAGTCGTTTCATAATTAACACCTTCTTTAGTTTTCCCGTTGCATCAGTAAAATCTGTAACAGTATTTTAACTGATAAAACCCCCTTAAACCGGACGTGAGTCACCATATGTGTCTACTGACACACGTTATTTAGACAAGTCTGGCACTTAATCCCGTTACATCTTCCTAATTTTACATCATTTACTGCTGATAACATACACATATCGATAAGAAAGGAAATAAATAACAAGTAAAGAAGACAGAAATTAGATAACAGAAGCATGCCACTTATTAAATGGCTAAATCGCAGTGATCTCATATAAACTATATCGGTATTCCGTTTTGCTCCGATGTGATTATACTGGGTCAGTTAGCGGATCCTCTACACATGCCAGTGTACTAAATTCAAACCGTCAACCTCCGAGAATTATCCCTAACTCGAATATCTGCCTCAACGAATTCCATATTATGAATATGGATGAAAGAATTACTGAAAGTCATTGATGAATCCAAGTGTTCTCGAAATGTGTAAGAACCTGTATCACCCGCATTTCACACAATATTGATTAACAAAGTATCTTTAAGTGCCAGTGAAAAACACTCAGTTTGAATGTCATGGCACTGAATACAATCACGCATCACGTTGACATGCAATATGTCACATTTTGTAACATCACCCGAATATCCACTATAATTGTTTTTAAATGACTTAACAAGTCCTTTGATTGTTTACCAAACCCTAATCCACAGCCCGGGCACTGTGAAACCTCAATTATTACTCCTCAATAATTACTGTCCTCTTCCATGTCTGAGGATAGGCAAATTAGCCGGCTCCTTCCTTCAATTCGTGCACATCCACCGCCACCTGGACAGCTTCAAGAAACATGAGATGTCTTTGTCTCTATACACGCTGAGTAAAAAGTAGGCTAACAAAGTGACCTCATTGCTGAGAAAGCCACTGTTCCCATTTAACACACTAGATTTACGATAGTCGGACATCGCTTTGTTGAAGGATGCACACATAACATTTTCCACGCCCGTCCCCAGACAGGAATTGTTCATATCACCGTACTGGAATCTAAGACATAAAGACTGATAAAAGACCATTAAGTGGCAAGTGTGAAGGAAGAGTAGACAATTGACCCCCCGGTTCCTATTTGTCTGCCTTCTGCTCAGATTGGCAGGATCGTTGTGGTTTCGTCGGTTGGCTCAAGTTGTTTTTACACACATATGTGATTTGATGCTTTGGTCACTAATTAAAACCCTTTCTTACGCAAGTTACAGCGAAACAAACTTCTCACAGAGATGTTTTATAATGTTCAAACCTTTTACAAAATGCCAACAGCGACAGCTGAAAAACATTTGAATATACTGAACCTCAGTCCGAGATATCTTTCTGTGCAGAATATGGAGAATGAATGACCGGAATACGAATATAACAATGTTCTACCATAGTAATCCAATTATATAGAAACGCGTTAAATATATTCCAACTTAGTGTCAATGGATGAAGTCTGACTTTAAATCAGTCCTCCTGAACTACACCCAAGACAATTTACAAGCCATTATTGTTTTACATAATTCCCAACGTCACCTCGTTTAAACGGCACCAATTTGTCAAATGCATGACAAGCTACCGGGGCTGTATAATCAACCTTGATGTCCTTATATGAAACTCACAAGAACAGAAGACATGCATGGACAATTTACTATATGAACCCCATGTCAGTTTGTGAACTCTTCACAACC